TTGTTGGCTCTGCTACTGTTTGTAGCAGTCCAGGGGTGTTTCCTGGCCATTTTTTCATTGCGGTGCAGATGGTACAACTCTTCACATAACTGTCCATGTCTTTCTTTATGTCGGGCCACCAGAATTGCCTCCGTGCTAAGTGTAAAGTCTTTAAGAACCCGAAGTGGCCTGCCGGTTTGGTGTCGTGGCTCCTCTGGAGGACTAGTGTGCATAGGGATTCTGGGACGTAGAGCTTCATCCCCTTCCACGCTAGGTCATCTCTTTTTGTCAAGATGTGTTGATTGTCCCGGAACCAGGGGTCTGCTAGTAGTTCGCTTTTGAGTTTCGTGGTTAGGTCGCTTGCAGGTTGGTCTTGCCAGTCGTGGCGTTGTCTGGTGGTGACTTAGCTAATTTGCTTGTCTAGGCTTGTTCTGAAAAAAATGAACCAGCATCTGCTCAGGCAAAAGGGGTAGCTTCCCACTGATCCTCCTGAATTCATGGATGTGTTCCTCCCTGCTTTAGGTTGCTGAGCTCATCCTACAGGTCCTCCTCTGCCTCCTCAAATCTGGCTTCTAGCAGTTGTAGGAAGTCATCTATGCCCTGCAGTTGCGGGGCCCTTCTCTTGTGGAGGGTTGCTAGCCATCCTCTTGCTTCTCCCTCTAGCCCCTCAGAAATAGTATTCACCATGGCTCTAGGGGATAGGTAGATGTGTCCATAGCGTTCTAGGTGGATCTCAGCTGAGTCAAGGAATAGAGTTAGCTGGTCTGGGTCCCCATCAAATTTCCCTCTGAACTGGGGTGGTTCATTGAGTACAGCTCCTCCCTCCTCCTGTTGCCCTCTGTAAGCCTGCGCTCGAGGTGGCTGGCCTTCTTCCCTGGCTCTAGTTCACACAGGGGGAGGGGGGTGCCTGCTGCATGGAGGAGGAACTGGCTGCAGCTTCGGACTCCTTTTTCTTCTGGTGGGTGGAGAAGGAGGGCTGTGATCTCGCTTGCTTCTGCTCACTTCAAAGGGCTCTGTAAAAACTCCCCTCTTTTTTGGGCAGCATGATGGGCCGTCATCTCAAATGGTGGCCTGGTCAAATTCCTCCCTCAGTTGCTTTATGGATCTCCCCAGGGATTCCGTCAGGGACTTTGGGGCTCTGGCCTGTGCCCAGTCCCACATCCAATCCACTCTTCCCAGTTCACTCAAGGGCCTTCTCCCTTTTTGGCCCTGGGGGTGGGAAAACTCAGCCTCAGAGGCTTTAGGAATTTTCTTTTTCCACCAGTACTTATCTGGTTTTCTTTCCTCCATTGGAGCAGGTTTCTCTGCTTCAGAATTCAAGGGGGGTTGACCTCCAGCTTTAATTATGCTATCAGCTTCTGTTTGCTTCTGGCTGGAGGCCAAATCTGTTTCTCCTTCTGATAGCCCGCCCTCTGCCATGGCTACCTGAGTTTCTCTCCACACACCCCAGATGTCAGGAAACAATTGGAGAGGCCAGGACCCCAGACCCCGGACCCCGGTAATATTGATTTATTAGGAGAGTTGTCTTGCTGTCAAGATTCTAGCAATTGCCCTAATTAAATCATGAGTCTCGAGCCAAACTTCAAAAAACTTCAAAGGATTTATTAGAGGTGACATACTGGCATGACCCGTATGAAGCCGACTCTGGCATACATAATTTACAGTCACCTGTGACCCTGTTTCCCCCCTCCCCCCTGGGTGTCTCATAAATCAGATTCTCCAATTAAGCATGTTCACAGGCTGGGTGTCATCAATCATGTTCTCCAATTAAATATATTAGCGGGCAAAAGCTCTGGTAGTTTATTTTACTAAAACAAGCATAGGAATGTTTTATGAGTTGACATGTAACACCATTTGCGCCCTACTGTCTTATTCCATTCTGGCAATGACATCATCTGACAACTTTGAAGTTCATACCTTACACTATATGCTCTAACCTCACTTGCAGTGAATCATTCAGGAGGTATACCTTTATTACGCTTCTCAGATCTCCTTGGTATTATATGTTCCTGTGTTTCTGTTACATGTCTCTCCTCTTCTATATCTATATCCTCTGTGTCTTTGCTTTTTATCACAGGTCTATCCTCTTCTATATCTATATTTGACCTGGTTTCCTGTCTCATCTTCCCTGTTTCACCTTCCAATACATTGGGACTATGCATTGGCATGAACACTTCGTAATTAGCATGTACCTTGTTCCAATTGTTCTGCTCCGCAAAACTAGCAGATCTTGAAATTACTACCTGTTTGGTACCATCTGTAAATCTGTACCCTTTTGTTTCTGGCTCATACCCAACAAACCTAAGCTTCCTGGCCTTATTTTGTCCTTTTCTTCTGGTACCTTTTGGAATATGCACCCAAGCATAACTGCCAAATGTTCTTAAATGAGCTAATGAGGGTTTCCTTCCATGCAACATGAAATATGGTGTTTCCTGTATTGCCACATTCCATAACCTATTAATGATATAATTCGCTGTCCTCATGGCTTCCCCCCAAGTATATGTTACTCATGCCTGCATCAGCAAGCAATGCTTTCTTCATGGTCTGTATCACACCGTTCCTTCTTTCAGCCACTCCATTTTCAACCGGCAAATATGGATTTGTTTTTCTATGCCTTATGCCTAGACTGCTTATCCACCTTTGGAACTTCTCAGACATAAACTCTGTTACCCTGTCTGTTTGTAGCTGGCATACTTTATACCCATACCATTGCTCTACAAGTGTTACCCATTGTCTGAATTGTTGCAACACTTCAGTCTTGTTTTTCAGCAAATAACAATACCCAAAACTACTGTAGTCATCAACTAAGGCATATCTAGCTCCTCCTAAAGAGGGTGCCATAGGGCCAACCAAATCAGCATGAACTAATTGCAATACTCTGTTTGTTGTTCTTGCACTTTTCTTACTTACAGGATACACTTTGGATTTTGACTCGTTACAAACAGCACGATCTAAATATACATTACATTTCTTTAACTTAAGCCCCTCAGCTAGGTCTGGCATTTTCTGAAGTACATCAAAACTTGCATGCCCCAATCTCCTATGTAACAAATGTACACAATTATGTGTGCGAACATTTGTAAGTACATGTGCACAACTATTTTCCTGCCTTCCTAGAACGTACAGGCCATCCTTCTTAACCCCTCATGCACGTATCTGTCCATTTTTCCTAGTGGTGTATTGCCCCCCTGGAAATAATATTTCATAAGCCTGCCTGTCCAATTTGGATATACAAAACAGATTACGTTCTAATGCAGGTACATATAAGACATTGTACAATGTTTCACCTTTTTCTGGTACATAAACATTACCTTCCGCTTTGTCCATTGGCCAGACTAACTGACATTTGCTTTGCTGGTTTCAAACCAGAAAATGCTTGTGGATTGTTAGCAATATGCTGGCTCACACCACTGTCCAACCACCACGTATTCCTGGTGTGTTCAGTCATTGATGCTGCCAGGGAAAACGACTCTGGAGAACAGCTCCACATGTGCTGAGTAGTCCTGCGCCCTTGTCTTGCTGCTCCTCTGTTCCTCCTCTCAGGGCAGCGTCTCTGGAGATGCTCAGTAGAATCACACGTGTAGCATCTTTTCACAAAATTCACTCTCTCAGCTGCTCTGCCACCATCCTGGACCTTTTTAGATGCTGGTCTGTGCTGAACGCTCTCTCCTCCCTTTCCAGGCTGCCTCTCCAGCTGTTTCTGCTCCTACTCTAACAATCGACCAGTTAAATATGCCATGGTTAAATCCTGCTCTTGCATAGACTCTAGACTGGTCACAAGAACATCCCATGAACTGTCCAAGGAACCAAGCAACATATACATCTTGTGTGACTCAGTAAATGTCATTCCTCTTTCTTCCAACTCAAGGAATGTCCTCATATTTTGCAGGTGTGTGGACATACTCTTCCCCGGCTTTAGCTGTGCCTTATACAGTCTCTTAGTCAGCAACACTTTACTGCATGTAGTTTCTCTCACGTACACACTGCGCAATGCCTCCCATCACCCTTTCGCAGACTGGAGACCCCTCATGTGTATCAGCTGACTGTCCTCCAAAGCCAAAATTATGCTGGCTAATGCCTTTTCGTTTTTCCTCTGGTCCCCATCATCCAGGACCACCAGTGGATTGGTAACAATTGTCCACAACTCCTACCTCTGCAGGTACATCTCCATCTTCACATTCCAGGAGAGGTAGTTTGTCTCATTCAGCTGAGACACCAAGAAACCTCCTCCCATTACGCCGACAGAGGCCATGTTGCCACTAACCATGATTTAAACCACTTACTGTGGTGCAAGCTCCCACTGGATTTCTCTTCTCTCTAGGCTCTTCAGTCACTCTGACCTTCTCTCTGTACTAGGCCCATAACCTGTCAGAGCATTTGCAGCATGACAACTATTATGAGACAACCCAGGAGCAAAACACAGTACACAGAGACAAGCAATCAATCTTCTTAACTCAACACGGAAAACTCTGCAATGGATACCAGACACAAAGAGACAAAAACACACCCTATAATGGCTGCCTTTATATAGACACCTCTTAAAGAGGTAAAACTTCTGTGGATCCATTCTTCATCTTAAAAGGGCAATACCCATGCTATGCTGAATCATCCTTATTGCATCATTCTGACATTACATCATCCTGACATTGCATCAGCCTTCCATCAACTGGTCAGCTCTTAAATTTCAATATCTGAACAACATTTATGATGGTTGCAGTGTCCCAGGGTCATGTGATCCCCTTTTGTGACCTTCTGACAAGCAAAGTTAATGGGGAAACAGAGTCATTTAACGATGATACTAGTTTAGCAACTGCAGTGATTCACTTAACAAATGTGGCAAGAAAAGTCATAAAATGGGGCAAAACTCACTTAACAAATTTCTCACTTAGCCACACAAATTTTGGGCTCAGTTGTCATAAGTTGAGGACTACTTGTGGTTATTAGTCAAGGGCTACCTGTAACGTACACCAAGGTAAAAAACAATCCGAACCTTTCTCTTCCCCCTCTCCCCTAAGAGAAGCTCAGTAGTGGGTGATACTCACCAGGATGAGAACCTTCCCAAGGCAGACAAAAGGAGTGCTAAGTTCAGCCATCAACATACAACCCAGGAAGAAGTCACCTTTGCCTTGACGCCACAGCTGAAAGGGGGAAAGGCATAAATGTGGCAGACCTGGGTGGGTGAGGCAGCATCTTCTAAAGCACAGCATCCTTATTTGCAGCTTTTGCTGCATGCCCATTCCTTTCCTTCCCATCCCCATCTGTGCACACGGGTCCCCCCGGTCCCACTCACCACAGACACAGGGAAGCAAACCAACACCATGAAAAGATGGTGAATCACCATCAGTAATTCCTTGTGCAAGTAGGCACGGGTGGCAGTGTGCAGCATCTGGGTCTCAACACATCTTGACTCATGCCCTTTAACCTGGTACCTGTGCCAATGGCACAGGAACATAGCGTAGATATCATAGATGAAGTAAGGGACTGCAAACTGGGTATAGTTGGAAGTCAGCCAGTGCCTGCAGGAGGTGAAAAGGGGTAAAGAAATATAAACAGTGAATAGACATAGTAATCCCTGCAGATAACTTGAGCCATGAGCAAAGGGGATGGAAGAACAGGACACTTTCCACCCCTCTGGAACAGACTCAAGGCCACAATCATTGAGGAATTGACAACATGTTGATGTGCTTCACTCCCAAGTACAATGCTAACATAGATTCTGCCTTGCTCACACTGTCCTGTCGTCCCCCCACACCCCAACTCCCTGATCCTGATCACAACCTTCTGCTCCTGCAACAAATGTGGTTTCTTTCCAGTTTTAACTTGCTTACACCTTATTTCTAAGATACTCCAGACACTGCTGCACCTAGGAAAGGTATACTATTAGCAATTCCTCCTTACTTATCGGATCCTACCATATTACTCCCTCTGGCCTTTGTGAACAGGATGCTTTGGTTTGCTAGCTTCTACCTGGGACCCATGCTTTCAACTTTGCTTAGAAACCCACCAACTCTATAAAAAGGCACTGAGATGCATGTAAATTCAGAACATTGGAGTTAGTCTCATTCTACTTAAAATGACTTAAAATACAGGGTTTTAAAAAGAATTTCCTGGTCTGGACTCATTTTTGAAAATGCTAAAGAGCAGCTGAAATAGAGATAAATAAAACAGGGTTTCTTTACAGATGGGACCCAACTTCTTAACCATAGTATCCCTTGCTCAGCTCTCTTTGCTATCTCTCTCCCTCTCCCAAACATTTCTGCTGAAGATACTCTCTGCTCCATGCAAGGTGATTAGGCCAAATGCCAAAGCAGCAGTGCAATGCAGGATGCTAAGCTCAGACATCCTTGTGGAGTCCAGACCTGAGAAAAAGTAGGGCATTTGGGTCTGAAGCACATTTAGGAGGACTGGGCTGTATGCTTTGAGGGTGGGTACAGCAGTATTTGATTTCCATGCTGAAAGACTAACATAGGAAGTGTTCTTTCTTGCCTTTTAGGCACAAGGGTCAATGAAAAGGATACTTCAAAAGTGTTGAAATGTTGCCAGGGAAACCTCACATAACTTCCCAGAAGGAGATTTGCTGTGTAAGGGGCACTGTGATATCGTTGTGAAAATAAAAATGCTAAGGCAGTTTTCACATCCTTAAGTCTTATCTCATAGCTTCCTCCTTCTATGCATATCCAATTGGAGCTCATGACAGAGGACCCAACAATCCAACTTCCCTCTGTTTTAACCTCCTCCTCTCCTAAGGGCCCTGGAGTTCCTCATCATTGGCTGCTCTATAAAACTTAATTACACATACACAGAATGCAAATCAGCAATGGAAGCAGCTGTTCCTTTGGTCTAATTCCCCCTGCTGCTCCCACATGCCTATCTAACATCACCCAGGGAGGGAATTAATCCCAACTGCATTCATTAATGAGAAACTAAACTATCCTTGGGGGAAAAAGCAAGAAAGGACATGATAGAAATACAGGTGAAACTTGAAAAATTAGAATATAGTGCAAAAGTTCATTTATTTCAGTAATGCAACTTAAAAGGTGAAACTAATATATGAGATAGACTCATTACATGCAAAGCAAGATAGTTCAAGCCATGATCTGTCATAATTGAGATGATTATGGCTTACAGTTCATGAAAACCCCAAATCCACAATCTCAGAAAATTAGAATATTGTGAAAAGGTTCAATATTCTAGGCTCAAAGTGTCCCACTCTAATCAGCTAATTAAGCCATAACACCTGCAAAGGGTTCCTGAGCCTTTAAATGGTCTCTCAGTCTGGTTCAGTAGGAAGCACAATGATGGGAAAGATTGCTGACCTGACAGTTGTGCAGAAAACCATCATTGACACCCTCCATAAGGAGGGAAAGCCTCAAAAGGTAATTGCAAAAGAAGTTGGATGTTCCCAAAGTGCTGTATCAAAGCACATTAATAGAAAGTTATGTGGAAGGGAAAAGTGTGGAAGAAAAAGGTGCACAAGCAGCAGGGATGACCGCAGCCTGGAGAGGATTGTCAGGAAAAGGCCATTCAAAAGTGTTGGGGACTTTCACAAGGAGTGGACTGAGGCTGGAGTCATGCATCAAGAGCTACCACACACAGGCGGATCCTGGACATGGGCTTCAAATGTCGTATTCCTCTTGTCAAGCTGCTCCTGAACAACAAACAACGTCAGAAGCGTCTTACCTGGGCTAAAGAAAAACAGAACTGGTCTGTTGCTCAGTGGTCCTCTTTTCTGATGAGAGCAACTTTTGCATCTCATTTGGAAACCAAGGACTCAGAGTCTGGAGGAAGAATGGAGAGGCACACACTGCAAGATGCTTGAAGTCCAGTGTGAAGTTTCCACAGTCTGTGTTGATTTGGGGAGCCATGTCATCTGCTGGTGTTGGTCCACTGTACTTCATTAAGTCCAGGGTCAATGCAGCTGTCTACCAGCAGATTTTGGAGCACTTCATGCTTCCTTCTGCAGACGAGCTTTATGGGGATGCTGACTTTCATTTTCCAGCAGGACTTGGCACCTGCCCACACTGCCAAAAGCACCAAAACCTGTTTCAATGACCATGGGATTACTGTGCTTGATTGGCCAGCAAACTCGCCTGACCTGGACCCCATAGAGAATCTATGGGGCATTGCCAAGAGAAAGATGAGAGACATGAGACCGAACAATGCAGAAGAGCTGAAGGCCACCATTGAAGCATCCTGGTCTTCCATAACACCTCAGCAGTGCCACAGGCTGATAGCTTCCATGCCATGCCGCACTGAGGCAGTAATTGCTACAAAAGGGGCCCAAACCAAGTACTGAGTACATATGCATGTTTATACTTTTCAGAGGTCCGATATTGTTCTATGTACAATCCTTGTTTTATTGATTGCATGTAATATTCTAATTTTCTGAGATTGTGGATTTGGGGTTTTCATGAGCTGTAAGCCATAATCATCACAATTATGACAAATCACGGCTTGAACTATTTTGCTTTGCATGTAATGAGTCTATCTCATATATTAGTTTCACCTTTTAAGTTGCATTACTGAAATAAATGAACTTTTACACAATATTCTAATTTTTTGAATTTCACCTGTATATCCAACTACACCACCTGCCATCTCTTACAGCCACCCCAAACCTTCATCTCTATCCTGCTCTGTCCTCAGAATTCCCCAGTGTGGACTTGTGCTGCATTTCCAGTCCTTCTTGTCCTGCAGAACTACCCTACTGCCAATTTGGATTCTGCAGAAACTGAGGTCTGGCAGCCCTCCCAGAAGCCAGAGGGACTGACAAATCTGACCCTGGAGTTTATTTCCAGCAGATATTGTGGAAATCAACTCCCCTATATATTGTATGAGGATTTCGGATTACAGTACAGGACCAGAACGGGAAGACTTGTTGTAGTTTGAGTGGGGCTGTCCATGGTGCTGAAAGGGGAAATTACCAATTCAGAGGCCCACGGGGTTTTGAAGCACCATGGACAGCACTTTTTTCAACAAAGCTTGGCTTCTGCCCTCCTGCTACTTTTGTCTTACTTACTCTAACATCTCTACTAAGTTTTGTGGTGGGTACAATCTTTATATGCAAAGCATCTTGTCTCCACCACCCCCATAATCCCGAAACACCTCTTTTCGGAACGGAATCCTGAACACGCTTTCTCTGGGTCCACAACCCAGTGCTTCACCCTACACTGCTATCGACCATAGCACTCCTGTTGGTGGCCCCAAACTCTCTGCCCTGCTCCCAGCTTCCTGATCCAGCCTAATCATTGCAGTACATCTGCTTGGAACATGTCACTGTCATCCTGTTCTAAATTTGGTGCCACTCCTGGTGCAAGTATCAAATTTCTCAGTAGTGTGACCTTGCCAAGATGCTGGCTGAGCTGCACTCAGAAAATAAGGTAGAGATGGAGTTGGGGTAGGAATGAGATTACTGCACCACAGTGCTGCTCTGGCATTACACCATAAATGCTGACTTACTGGTCATCGATAATGTGCTTGCAGGATGATGAGATGATGTAGCCAACTGTGGAAGCCATAATGGCCTGCACTGAGGAGACAAGTCTGTGATAGGAGAATGGGAAATGGTAAGAAGTTTAAGTAACTGTGGTTTCTCCTTCCTCTTCTATTGGATTCTAGAACCCTATTTCCATTTTAGGTCTGAAGTTATGAGGCCAAAACAGTAGTTTTCAATCCCAATCTGATACTCTGGGAGCTGGCCTAGACTATTACATTGCTCCAGAACTCTGCCAGCCTTGACCAACAGCTTTAATTCCAACCCAGACATTTTTCACCATCCCATAACAACTGCCATTGTCTGGATATATTTGGAGGTAAGTCGCAATGGTTAAATGGTTCAGCTGTCCATTGACCCTGCTACATTCTCAAGTAATTCCAGAAGTCAGTCAGTAGAGAGGCTTTCATGCTTAAAAGAAAACATCCTAAGTGATGAGAGCAATTGGGTGTCCCCTGCCACATCTTAGAAGACATCCCCGGGATTTTCACTACATGCCACATTTTTTAAGCATCTCTTACTATACCCCAACAAAACATCTAGCCTCCTGAAAGACTCCTATTTTCAAAGAATTTCCATTTTGGAGTGCAGAGCTGTGGGTACGTACAGCTTAATAAAGTTACAGTGACTCTGATAACCGATTTGGTGACACCTCAATCCCAGGCTCAAAACACCTTGCTAAGACTTGACTTTCTTGAGTTATCACTACTGTTGGGTTATCAAGAGGTGACAGCGACACCCCTTCGGCTCTCACTGTGTTGGTTGCTTTCCCTACAATGATCCCACTCCCACTGTGGGATCCTAGGAACATCAACTAGCTCATGACCTCAATACAATGCTTCTTCCAGAAAATCCTGGACACTTCTATTTATAGAGATCCCTTACAGGTCCAAGAGAGTTTGAAACTCAATGCACCCTACTCTATTCCCAGTGAGTCCAAGAATTGGCTTCCAGCTTTAACTTCTCCTTTTGAGCCCACCAGGAAAGCTTGCTAGGGATTAGGACACCACTCCCCCTCCAAAAAAACCCTCTCCCTTCCCATTCCATCTCCCCAGGACCCATAGTTCCCCCTTTTCCTTAAAACCACCCACATCAAACTAACAAACCAAAAAAATCCAGGTGCCCAGCAGCTCATCCTTGAGGCCTTCTGCCTGCCCTCCTTCCTGTCCACCATCTGGACTGCTAGATCCTGCTGGCATCCCCTCCTGCATCCCTGGTTACCTGGCTGAGACGATGACCGCGTCAGCCTCCTCCCATCGCAGGCCCGGTAGCCACTTGAGGCTGTTCTTGGACAACAGGAAGAGGCCAGGGAAGACAATGGTCCCTGCTACCAAGGCGTGAAACATCTTGCTCAGGCTGCAGGGTTGGGGTGATGGGGGAGGAGGAAGAAGGAGGGCAGAGAGGAGGATGAGGATGGTCAGTGGGGCTGGGATCCCTCCGGGTGTCCACAAGGAAGGCTCATTGTCCCCCAGGGGGTGAGGGGGGATGCAGAGGAAAGGGGGGATGCTGGTGGGAGGGTTGGTCCCTAGCAGAGCTGCTGTGACAGACACAGAGAGAGATACAGTCAGGGGAAGGAGGGAGGGAGGGGGGGAGCAGCTGTCAGCACAGTGCGGGAGCAACTTAAAGAGACAGTGGACTGCACTGTGCAGATGGACCAGCAGAAAGAAGAGCAGGGTAGCACAGCTCAGGGTTGAATAATCACAAGTAAAGAAGCTCAGGGCTCAGTTTGCAAGGCATGGTGGGAGACGGAAGATGAGATCTATGTATGGGTGAAGGATTGTGGGGGACCTGCCAGTTGGGGGATGAAGCGGGGTAGGATGTATCTGACTCAGGATTGGAAGGCTGAGCTGGAGGTTTGAGATATCTCAGAGGGATGAGGTTGGAGAACCAGATATCGGCGTCCTTAACATCCCATGGCAGAATCCACTAAGTTAATCCGTTGCTTCTTTCCATCTGGAAGCCAGTTGAGCATTGCTCCCCCTTTTCCAAGGCAGCTAATCAGGCATCATCATTTAACCCCCAGAACACCAAAGCCTAACTTCCTTGAGCTCTGCCTCTTCCCTTCTCTGGCAGGATCACTGGAAATTTGGCTAAGCCTACAATCTCAGCTCAGTTTGTGGAGGGGGGAGACTATGGGGCAGCTAACCTGTTCCCCTCCTAATGCATTAAGGGATAATCTTCCACCTCCTAAGAGGTGACCATGATACAACCTTTGATAGGTAAAAGAGAAATTGGCTGCCAGGAGGAAGTAACTAAATCAGCAGTGACACCTTATGGCTGACTGTGAGCATTGTAGCATGTTGATTTTATAAAACAGGGATGGGTAGAAGTAGCTGGGCTGGGTGGGTGGGATGTCCCTGGAAGAGCTGTGAGGGATTTTCTCCCCTAGTCTTTGAGCCTGTGGTTTGTCTATGTTTGCAGGGAGCCTTTCACCTAGCAGTTACATAGACGGCAAAGCAGAATTCCATTCTCCACATGTGCACCAGGATCCAACGCAGGATATAGTAGAAACTGGGAAAAGCAACCAAACCCAGAAGGAAGAACTAGGAGAACTGCCAGAGCAAAAGACAGGTTTAACAGTTAATGCAACCAACTTTTGTCTAAGCAACACTGGTCTTATTGCTTTACCTCCTAAACACACAAAGAAACTTTGAGCACCAGTTCCATATGGTGGGTTTCATCGGTTTCTTAATAACACACCCTCAACATCCCACTTTTTCAGGACAGTGCAACTGTTCCATTGGCTACTCAAGCTTTTTTTAAGGCATAAATGCACGGAGACCCAATTTATCACAAACTATTCAGTCAGTTCCACCTTGACTTGACTTCTACCACAGGAAGCAAGAGACCTCTGATACGTTAAAAAAAAAAAAAAACAAATTAGTATCAGTTTTATGAATTTATGAATCAGTTCAGAGATTTTACTGGTTACAAGCTAACCATACACTGTCCTTTCCACAGTTTCAGCAAGGGAGATGGCCTTTTTAGTTCTTAAATAACCAGTTCATTATAAACAAAGTGAGGTTGTGATGGCATTGACTAAACATATGTGTTTAATCAAAATGTTGGTTGATTAAATACATAATTGGGACTGTCTTGCTGGATCAGGTCAGAGGCCTATCAAGAATTGTGGAATCTGTTATTACATTTTGAGGCAGTATATTACCTGGAGGAGGCATAAACAATTATGCCTAAACATTATAAGAAAAATATGAAGGGATTTGTATACAGTTATCTTGGAGCTATGCTTAACAGAGTAGTATCTGAAGGTTTGTCCCATAAATTACAAAAAAAATGGTTTTTTGGTTGTTCCAAATTTAGGACCCAAACAAGGATTAATTGAACAGGGATTTGATGAAATATTAAGACCTCCCTGTTGATACAAACATTTAATAGCCGAGTTGATCATCTGAGAAGCTGGGGAACCCTCCACTGGCATTAAGCAGAGGTGAGATAACCAACCACTGTATCTGGGAGAGGATCTTTTCTTCCTTTCCCCTTCTACTGTGGATTAAAATGCTTTACTGTAACTGCTTCAGTTAAGATCAGTCAGGTTCACATATTGTATTACTAATCTATAAAGTTGAATTTTCAGCAGGGAGTGGATTCTGACATCAGAATCCACTCATTGGAGCAATTTCCCCAGTGGGAAATTGAAGTGCTGTCAGTGGCTGAAACACCAGACAGCTCCTGGCTTAAAAGCAGGGATATGGTGGCGGCTCGTCCGCTTCTATTGGGATCTTCAATAAAGAGTTACTTTACTGTTCCTGAGTGTCCTGTCTCTTCAATCGACCCCGGTCTAACACTGGCATCGAAGGTCGGATCCTAGAAGAGAACAAAGGATGAGGAAATCCACGTGGCATCCACAGCCATCTTTGCAGCAAGCGTGACTGAAAAGTGCATTGGCCAGATCCAGGATGACCACCCATGCACCACCAGCTCCGTTCGATGCAGCAAATGAGAAATCATCCTTCTATATGGGCCAATTTAGGATGTTCATGGAAGCCAACAGTCTCCAGGATTTGGCGGATCCTAAGGGCACTTTTCCTTAGCTACTGTGGGCCATGAATGTACGAAATAGCAGAAACCCTAGTCTCACCCACAGATGTAGAGACTATAGAATGGACAATGTTGCAAGAGAAGCTTAAGGAACATTTTGAGCCCTCTGCATCACCACTGGCTTGTAGACATGAATTATATAGCAGAAACCAGCAAGCGGGAGAGACAATGAGTTTGTGGCAACTCTAAAAAAACTCGCAACTGACTGCAAATTTCCAAACGTGGAAGACATGATACGAGATAGGCTCATATTAGGAATGAGGGACTTAAATCTACAAAAATGGCTACTAGCAAGGCAGGATGTCCCATTTAAATTCACAGTCGAGGAAGCCCGAGCAGCTGAAACCTCCAATAGATCAGCTGCCAAAATTAGAGGCTCAAACAGTGTCCATTCATCCAGAGGAACAACCGCCAGCCAACCAGGGAGCCCAGAACATGACGAAAGTACCAAGGAGGAAGAGGACATCTACTGAATAAAGGCCAACAGGAAGGTAGGGCAGTTAGAAATGGGACAGAGACCTCCTTGGCATGCAGGCTGTGGGGGAAATCACCCCAGTGCGTCTTGTAAGTTTAAAGACACTATCTGTCAGCAATGTGATCACAAGGGTCACATAGCCGAGGCTTGCAGAGCGAGTCAGCCAACCTTCCACCACCAGAGGCAACAGGGGTCCCCCACGCATCCACACGGCCCACAGATGTGTTTCCAGAAGGCGCCAAATTCAAAATTCAAGCGGAGAGAAGACCAAAATGAGGAAGCTAGGGAAACACATCAAACAATAGTGGGGCATTCCGACATGTAGAGATCAAAAGAATTCCATATCGTTGTTCAACTTGAAGGAAACCCCTGCAACATGGAAGTGGACATGGGATTTTATATCTCCATGGTATCCTGGTCGACCATCAAAAAAGCGGTTCTGGGTATCACCCAAAAATGACTACAGCTGCAAAAGACACTTTTAAAAGATTATCAGGGAAACCGAATCCCAGTGCTAGGGAGAGGTTTCTTCCAGATTAAATTCAAAGATTTTACGGGCTCACTACCATTGACTATAGTGGACAAGGACCTACTCAGCCTGATAGAAATTTAATGGTTCGAGGCCCTAGGACTCAGAATAACTGGCATCAACACTGTCCAAAGAGATGACTTCAGGGTGCTGAAGCCGAATTCAGGGATGTCTTTGACAGCAGCCTAGGCAAGTACACAGGGACCCCTATATCTTTCAATCTAGACCCCCTAATTGTCCCGTCCGACTGAAACTGCCAAGAGTCCCCTTTGCTCTTCAGTGCAAGGTTGATGAGCAATTAGACAAGCTAATTGCCCAGGGGATTTTGGAGCCAGTCAAACACGCCAGGTGGGAGACACCCATTGTTACCCCAATCAAGCCAGACGGCTCTATCCACATCTGTGCTGAATATAAATGTGCCATTAATAAGGCATTACAACAGAGCGCCTATCCCATGCCAGTGGTGCAGCACCTTTTGCACTCATTGGGAAAAGGCTAACTTTTTGCAAAACTAGACTTAGCACAAGTCTATCAACAGTTGCCGGTGGATGAGGCAACAGCAAAGGCACAAACAATTGTGATCCACAGGGGAGCATTTAAGTGCCATAGACTACAGTTTGGAGTAAGTGTGGCACCAGGGCTGTTCCAAAGCTTACTGGAACGCCTCTTACATGGTATCCCGGGGGTGGTGCCATATTTTGATGACATCCTCGTGTCCACAAGTGACCAAGAACAGCTAACCCAACAGTTGCAGACAGTCCTAACTCGCTTCCAGAAAGCTGAACTTAAAGTCAAAAAAGAGAAGTGCCAAATAGCCATGCCCCAAGTCAAGTTTTTGGGATTTCTAATTGATGGGCCAGGCATTCACCCCACCAGCAGCAAACTTAAAGCCATAAAGGAAGCCCCCACACCAAAAAACAATATGGAACTGTTATGGCTCCCCCTTCAAAGTTCAAACAACACAAAACCAAAAGCAGCCATTCCAAAACTTAAGTCCAAAAGAAAGGAGTTCAACAAGATAACGACTGTCATCAATTATATACACGCCCTGTTCAACAAAAACAGTTCTGGCACCAATTCTCACAGCTCCGAGCCTCTGCTGTAAACCTCGTCACGCAAACAGACACTTTGTTCCTGACAATCTTCACACACACAGCTGTGTCCTTTTATAGTCCTTGAGGCAACGTACTAATTATTGACTCGCCCTTCTCCTAACTAAGTTTGCCTCCGTA